GTGCCAAGAGAAATGTTGCCCCTGCCAGGAGCCTGTGGCCGTCCATGACCGCTGCATCCATGCATTTGGTGAACGTGCAAGGAGAGAGTGCTAGGCCAAACGGAAGAACCCGATACTGGTACGTCGCGCCCCCCGAAGGCGAACCTCAGGAACTTCCTGTGAGGAACCGATGGAGATGTGGAAATATGCGTCTCGCATGGTTAGCATCCTGAACCTGAATCTCCCCGGGGGGGTGGCCCCTGAACTGCAGCCTGTAGCCATCCATGACTAACTTTGGTGTGAATGAAATGTTCCAGTCTCTGTAATAGGATCTGATGGTCAATGTTATCAAATGCAGCACTAAGATCTAGTAAAACCAGTACAGAACAAGACCTTTGTCTGATGCAATGAGAGGTCATTAGTATTTTCACCAGTGCTGTCTCTGTGCTATGATGAACTCTAAATCCTCACTGAAAATCCTCAAATAAACTATTGCTCTGTAGAAAGTCACACAGCTGTTTAGCAACTGCTTTCTCCAGGATCTTAGAGAGAAATGGAAGGTTAGATAAGGTTTATAGTTGGCTAAAACATCTGGATCAAGTTTGGGCTTTTTCAGAAGAGGTTTAATTACAGCTACTTTAAAGTACTGTGGTACATAGCCTGTTGATGAAGATAGATTGATCATATCTAGTATAGAGGTGCTGACTAAGGGTAAAACATCTTTAAGCAAACTAGTCGGGATGGGGTCTAAGAGGCAGGTTGATGGTTTAGATGAAGAAATTATTGAAGCTAGTTGGTAAAGACTGAGGGAAGCAAAGCAGTCTAGAGGGGCAACAGAGTCGAGTGTCATTCGCAGCGAGCCTGCAGCACTATCAACAAGATGATCGATTTGGGAGGGACTGAAATTAGCATAGGAGTCCTCCGTTACTTTGTGACTTGATAATGAATTTAGAGCTGATGGAATCGCATCCTTAAATTTAGCTACAGCACTATCAGACAGACATCTTGTATAGAAATCTTTGCCCAATGGCGTGTAGTTCAGCAATACAAACTCAAAAGTTATCAAACAGTGGTCAGATAAAGAGGGATTCTGTGGGAACACTATTAAATGTTCAATTTCAATACCATACACCAAAACAAGGTCGAGGGTGTGGTTAAAACAGTGAGTCGGTTCATGAACACTCTGAGAGAAGCCGATAGAATCTAACAGAGAGATAAACGCAGTACTAAAGCTGTCATTCTCAACGTCCACATGAATATTAAAATCCCCTACAATAATAACTTTGTCCGTTTTAAGGACTAAAGTTGACAAAAACTTAAGAATTCAGAATACGGGCCAGGTGCTCGGTACACTATAACGAAGAGAATTGGTTGCAGTGATTTCCAACTTGGGTGTGAAAGACTAAGAACAAGACTTTCAAATGAGTTATAGTTTAGTTTAGGTTTAGAGCTGATTAGTAGGCTAGAGTCGAAGATATCTGCAACTCCACCTCCTCCGCCTGTGCCTCGAGGAATGTGAGTATTAATATGACTGGGAGGGGTGGATTCATTTAGGCTAACATATTCTCCATCACCCAGCCAGGTTTCAGTAAGGCCAAATAAATCAATATCATAATCTGATATTAGTTCATTTACTAGTACACCTTTAGAAGAGAGAGATCTGATGTTTAAGAGTCCACATTTAACTCTCCTATTCGTTTGCACTATTGCTCTTGTGGTTTTAATTTTTATGAGGTTTTTATGCACAGCTCCTCTTCTGTTTACCTTTGATTTAAATAATTTCAGTGGTTGGGGGGGCAGACACCGTCACTATAGGGTAGTGGTCAGTAATATCTGGCCCACAGCCAGATTGCTTTGATAGCAGAAAAACAAACAAACAAAAAAAATTGATAACGGCTGGTGCTGAAATGGATCTTAGTCATGACAGCTACAGTTACTCACATAATCACTTCCTCTTAAGTGACTGTGCCTCTAAAATAAAATTTCCTCAGGGAAATGAAAATAAGTGTCCATAGGTTTATGAATGAAGATCAAACGCTGGAACGCGCACATACTACAGCACATGCTTTATGTGTGCATCTGCAAACGTGTCCTTTTATTCTATTTGTTTAACAAAGGAGAAAAAAATATCTGCAATAAGATGGACTCGATCTCACAACTTACCTTTTGGGGGTCCCATGTAGTACCATCTGAGCTAAACATGTACATGATTTCAAAATGGTTTGACTTTGTTCTGGCCCACCGTTTAACAACTTGACAAAAATTTGGGCCGATGCCAGACTTATTCGCCAACCCCTGCTGTAGGGTTTTGACTAGGTAATTCCTGAAATGGAGGAGCAGAGAAGTGTGTTAGACTGCGACTCTGCGTAGGGTTTTGGGTGGGTAACTGCTGAAAAAAGAAGGGCAGAGAAGTGTGTTAAACTGCGACTCTGCCTCCTGGTCTCAACTCTGGGTTGTCATGGATTTGGTCCACTAATAAACTTGGCCAGATTTCTAGAAATGAGAGCTGCTCCTTCCCAAGTGGGATGGATGCCGTCTCCCCGGATCAGACCAGGTCTTCCCCAGAAAGTCTGCCAATGATCTACAAAGCCCATCGTTTGCTGGACACCACCTCGACAACCAGCGGCGGAATGACGACATGCGGCTATACATGTCATCACTGGTCAGGTTTGGCAGGGGTCCAGAGAAAACTACGGTGTCCGACATTGTTTTTGCATATGTACACACCGACTCAACATTAATCTTAGTGACCTCCGATTGGCGTAACCGGGAGTCATTACCGCCGCCGTGAATAACAATCTTACTGTATTTACGTTTATCCTTAGCCAGCAGTTTCAAATAAGACTCAATGTCGCCCGCTCTGGCCCCAGGGATGCACTTAACTATGGCCGCTGGCTTCGCTAACTTCACGTTTCTCAAAATGGAGCTGCCAATGATCAGAGTTGGTTTCTCAGCGGGTGTGTCGCTGAGTGGGACAAATGTAATGACCAATCTAACAAATTTAACTGATATTTAGTGAGAAAAGCAAAAAACGCTACCAACACACAAGCACTGGAAACGGAAATGAGTCAGTACGCTTACTGCAGCACCTCAACACGTCATTAACTAAATGTAGTTTCTAGAGCAGCAACAGGATTTACAACAGCAAAGTTACTAATATCTCACTGGAAACAAATCTAAAATGTCACTGAAATAAATCATAATCCTGACATCAACATACAGAGTGATTTTTTAGAAAGACTGAATGTTCTCAGTCCCTCCTGTCCTCCTCCTCCCTCTGCTGCAGCTGGAAGAGAGGAGGGCTGGTCTGTCTCCACAAACTAAGCTAAACAGTTTCCAAAGACAGACAGCTTTCACTTCAGCTTGTTTGTAACAATAAGCTATTAGCCAAACTAGCCCTATGCCTGTTTAAAACCAAAACACAGCTGCAGTGGATGAGAAACTGAGCAGATGAAACAGGTGTGTTGGGAAAGTATTGGCTTTTAACTCGCTTTTTTTATTGCACCACGTACTAACCAGCGTAGTTGTCACGTCGGTAACGTCCACTGAGCAGCTGGCTGACTTCGCTCCGTGTGCAAGTGCGTGTGTGTGTGTGTGGGGAGTGGAGGCGCTCTGCAGAGACACAGAGAAGCAGAGAGGCTGAAGGTCGGACAGATATGTTGAGCCTTGATTGAAATATAAGAAGGAAACTATATAGCTCTTTAGCTGCTTTCATACAAGTAGTTTACTTTTGTTCTCATATACATTAGATAATGTGCTTGGCGACATGGAGGTTTCTTCAGGCCCAGAGTCCTAGGTCTGTGTCCCCTGTTGGCTTTCCCCCAAAACCGCCACAGGGAGTGCGTAACCCCCCCCCCCCCCCCCCCCGCAATTGCCGCGCAAAAAAACACGATTTGATCATCAGTCGACTATAGGCAGGACACGGTTCCACTGTCTTTCGGTCCATCTAAGATGACCTTTCTAATATTGATGTATGGCTTCTCCTTGCGTCATACAGTTTTAGGTTGCATTTCTTGATGCAGTGGCGGCTGCGTGACAATGGCAATGACATCGTACACTCAAGCCCATGTGGCATTTTTATAACAAATTTATATTTTATATGATTCTTGACTTTTACAGTCCCTGTTTTTCATTTTCTCTCACTATGTTTATTGTTCTGCACCAAAAAGACAAATTCCTTGGATGTTGAAAACCTACTTGGCAACAAACCTGACTGTGATTCTTGTTCTCCTCCGTCAGACTCCTCTCTGTCTGTGCTCAGACTCTGCTGCCATCTAGTGGTCTTCTGTCCATACTGCGTCTCTACTGGTCTGATGCTGTCCATCTGCTGCAGCAGGAAGACAGGAAACAAACCAGCCGTCTCCATGGAGATGACCCAGCGGGTTGGAGGAAGTGACGAATTGGATGGCGAGTGTGATGACATCACTGCTGATGTCACCACTGAGCACGCCTTCTGAGCTGTGAACAGAGTGACAGCAGCTGTCTTTAACATGGACTCTGATCAATAACATGATGGATCTGAAGATGAGAGTTTCTATCATCTGCTCTTATGGAGATGCTGCTGGAGAGCATTGTCTTACACGTTGCTCCAGAATCTTCCACAGGTGTGAAACCGGGTTGAGATCTGGTGACTGTAAAGGCCGCAGCATTTTATTCACATCATTTTCATCCTCACCAAAGCGTTCAGTGACCCTGCTGCACGAAGCATCTGCATCTGATGTTCCTCCTCTCTTTGATTCAGCTTCTTCCTTTCATTTGTTTGTTGTAGAAGCCCTGCTTTTTGGTAGATTTGCTAAAACCCCCTCAGCTCCATTGTAGAAAATATAAAAAATATTCCAATGGTGTGGAACACATTCTGATTTGCAGATATGCACATTGTGTCTATGATTATACATTTTAATATTTATAGCAACTGTGTGAATGTGTTTTTCAGCAAATTCACTTCAACAAATGCAGCAGAATTTTTTTTATTTGCAACATTTATTTATTTTCATACACGTGTGGCTACAAACACACAACAGCAGTCTCCAAAATGACAGTTGAATCAACACATCTCTAAAACACTTTCAACACAAACAGGTTATAACCATCGTGAAGGAGGATTTACTGCAGGACTTTTGGATTAGACTTCAGATTGAGAGCAGTAGCACACACGCTCAAAGCAAAAGGAAGCAGACAGAAAGATTTATTTTAGAGAGAAAGCAGTTTCCATCCAGAATCTCTCACACAGAGAAGATGAGGATATGGATGAAGAAGAAGAAGAAGGGGGAGTGAGCAGGAGCGCCTCCGCTGGTAGTCGGTATGTTGGCGGCAGCTGTGCTGGTGCTGTTGGTGTTGCTGATGGAGGCTGGAGATTAACCAGGAAGGTGGTGGTGTTGGAGGCGTTGTTTCCACCTATTAACCCCGCTGCCTGGAACCGACAGCCGCCCTGCTCACCACCAGATCACTCTGAACAAATCAACAGAATTATTTACAGTTTGACAAAAAGTTGGACTTGAACTTATTTTTCCTAATATTTTTTTAGTGAACGAGCAAATTTCCAGAAAGGCCACATGTCTCAATCATTTAAAGTGAGACTATAGGTGCGTTTGACTTCATGAGGCGAGTCACAGCGCTGACTTATCGTGATGCAGGCTGGACTTAACATAAAGCATGCTGGTTAGAAATTGTGTCCGACTTTTGCCGGTGCTGTAAAACGTCACCATGTCACATGACATTAAAACCTCCCGGAGCAAGGCGGCTGAACTTTTCTGCATTAGGCGACCGCAGTTGCTTTTCTCTTGCTGCACCAAGTTGAATATATATACTCTGTTATTTCTCTGTTGACACGAGATGATTGGCACAATAATTCCATACGGGAATTTGTCTCCATCCCAGCCCACCCTGTTCAAGCAAACCACCAGACCACTAATTTTGTAGACTAACGCTATTTGTTGATGTAAGAGGTAACCCTAACCCAAACTGGATTCATCTGGGGAATAAAGTTATCCTCATTACAAAATACAAACATCTGGGTCTGACAATTAAAGTAGCCTATCTGAACACTTGCTATGGGTGCTCCCAAAAAATAGCCTACACCATCACAGTCATAACACAAACTAAGGTACAAAAAACAATAAGCCCTTATCATAATTTCTATAAAGCTCCTGTTCCACAACCAATTTTAAACCACATTCAAACAAAGGAGATGCAGAGACACACCACAGTCAAGTTTTTTAATTCATCATTTATAATTTATTTTATTTGAATTTTTTGTATTAATATTAAATTAACCTGTATCCTCTGCCAGTGTAATCAAGATCTCATATGGTTGGTTAGGACACCGCACAAAAACAGCACTTGCTCCCCCAAAGCAAGGCAACCACATAAAACAGCAGCAATATGTTGTCAATATTTAATAGCCAGTACACTATATCTGTCTGCACCAAAATGGCGTGGAGCACAGCTGGAGTTTAGAATACATGCTGTGGGTTTCAGATGTGTGGATGCAAGTAAAGTGGATGTTTGTGATGTGTTAGTACGAGGAAAGAGAAAAGGCACACAGAGCGAGATACATAAAGTCCTGATTGACGTGGCTAGATACAATTTAACTAATACTTTATCACACAGAACCCACCAGTGACCTTGCATTCACGGCCGTGGTCCTGGATAAAGTATTGCTTGCGATTTTGAACACAGTGGCAGGAACTAACACAGCTACGGGCCCAGCAGCGTGGTACGGTAACCAAATATGAAGTGTGCTGCTAGGTATGAAAACACACAGCAATCAACAGTCGTTGATGAACTTAAGGAGTTCCTTCTCTCAGTAAAAGAACAGTGGAAGATCTTCTGCAGGTATGAGACCGTTATGTTGCGTACAACAATCAACTTCGGGATCCAAAATTGTGTGCGTAAACACGAAAGAGACAAGAGAAACAAAAGAAACTTTCACCTAGTTAGTGTGTTCGCGTGCCAACTTCTGTAACTCACCCTACATTTCAGGGTGTTAATGGAGAGACTTCTGTTTCTTGAGACACAATGTCAATGTTAAGATCAACAATCAAAGTGCCAAATTTCTAAACTATCCAGATCCCAAATTGTGTTTTGAACAAGTTACAAATTACATAATTTTAAAGCTTTCTAAGGGGTTTCATCAAGTTAACATCAAACTCTAGACATGGCCGGCACTTACGTTAGCGTGCAGTTCTTGGTGGAGAACAGGTGACGCTGAGGTCACCGTCAGTCCCAGCGGACATGAAGGTGTAATAGCCCGGCTGGTTGATGGTGATCTGGCTGTTGATCCAGGACTGATACTGGGACACTCGGGTGTAGACTGATGGGATATTAGGCACTGCGCAGCCCTTATTACTGAGGAAACTCGTGATTCCCCCCTGGATCCAGCGACCGCCCTGCTTGCTCACCAGCGGACCTCCTCCATCCCCCTTTACGGAAAGAAACATTTAGGAGAAGGAATCTTTGCAGAAGGTAAAATCAGACTCGAACACAGGAGTAAAACTGATCACCTGACAGATGTCCTTCCCTCCAGCACCGGCACACATCTTGTTGTTTGTGATCAGGCTCAATCCGTAGGTACAGGTACACTGTCTGTTCCCCACAATCGGCAGCTGCACCTCCATTAGCTTTTGTGGGTAAGGAAGGGACACTAAAGAGACAAATACAGTTTAGTAAACAGCACAAGTGGTGAAATGTGGTTTCATATGGTTTCACCCAGAACGGCCAGTTCTACATAATCGTACAGGCTTTGCCGTCTAAGGCTATCGCTACTGGGTTTATCCCTCGCGCACACACACGCAGTACTGAAAAATATTTTCCCATACCCACCCGCGTGATTGGCCACCACCACGGTCTCACCCTGTCTATAAATTGGAGATCGGACAATCGGCTCAGAGCGGAAAGCATCCGCCGTGCAAAATTACAATAAAGCTCATTCAAAATTCTATTCCATTCCTAAAAATGCTGCCTTGCTTTTGGCTTTGACGTTGGCTAAAAGAGTAATCTATCTACTCTCCCTGTGGCCCCCTCAGGCCCCAGAATTCAGGGCGATCGCCTCAACACCCAACTCAGATTGAGGGTTATTCCTTTGGAGGTTTGTTTCCCACCTCCTCACAGGTCCAAGGAGGATGCTGTGTCTCATCTTCTCTGTCCAGTGTCTTCTTACGTTATGTGCACGCCCTGTTTGTTCATTATAGGGAACGATCTATGTCACCTGTCTGCCAAGCGCCCGTCTCTCTGGCTTGTCGGTGTTCTGAGATGGATGCTCTGGAGGGCATCGGAGCGCAGAATAATCTCAAACTCTATGGTGCTGCACAGGGGATTGAAAGTGGAAGACATTTGTGCTTCTTGGTCTTCCCATTATCCTTTTATTTGATTTTCTCTGCAGGAAGTCTCTCACTTCTCCATGACTCACTCTGTGCTGAGTGTTAAGTCGGAGCTATTGCTTTCAGTAAATGTGCTCGTACCCCCTCTTCCCTGCACTCCATGTTGGCCCTACTCCACTTGGCACTTAGAAAATATTCAAACTTCTTCACAAAACTATGTGTTAATGTTAAGGCAAATTATGATAAAAAGGATCCCTGCACACAGTTTGTAACCACAAGGATTTGTTGCTCCCCTGGTAAAGGAGGAGCTGCATTTTTGCATTGACATTTCTGAAAAAACACAGTTGTTGACACCACTGAAAATAAATGTAATCCAGGTTTTCTGACCCACCTCCAGTTCCAACATTGCCCCAGCCGGTGGCCCAGGAGACAGTGCCCTTGTAGAAGGTGCTGCCTGTGGCTGCCAGACAGACGGGCTGGACGTAGGCGTTGAAACCCACCGGTGAGGAGAGCTTCAGGAGGCAGATGTCGTTTTCAAAAGTTCCAGGGTTAAATTTGGGATGAGTGATGATCTGTGATACTGCCCGAGACACTTGATTGGGGTTTGTTCCCTGTAGACTCTGGAGACCCAGAACCACAGTCAGAGTGCTCGTGCCTACGCCTGCGCTGAGGTTATGAGAAGAGAAACAAAAGAAAATGAAAGGCAGAACTGTAGTCAAGAACACTTTAGCAGACACTAAGTCCACTTTAAGACCACGTCTAGTCTAGTTCGTATGGAGCCCGATAGATGTGGCAACAGGGAGATATCATTCCCATCATCCTTAGTCATTCATGTGCTCAATTAACTTTTTCATGACCTCAAGACCTAATTATGGAAATTAATAATTTTCCATTCAGTCTGCACATACAGTCCATGTTCTTTGCATTTGTTGCAGTCGAGAATTCCAGAAAACTAAGGATTCATTTCTACCTCATTCTGCCTTATCAAATTTTTTTTTACAACAAAGCAATCTCCAAGTATACAAATCAAATGAAGTTCAAAATGGAACTTGTGTTTCAGGTTGTGAAAGATCACAATTTGGTTAGGTTTAGGAAAACGTCATTGCTTGGGTTGAAATAACGACGTTACTTTCATGACTTCACTTATGTTCAATAGTCTCCAGTCACCTGTTTTTAGCTTTCATAAATGAAGCTACAGGGCTTCCCCCAGTGCGTTACAAACTGACACCAAGGAACCTGGGAGGTTTCTGTTAATAGAGATTAGGTTGAAGAAACAAATTAATTGATGAAGGTTTCAGTACCCCCCTGCTATGACTACTGTGAATGTGAGTAAAAGTAGTTTGATTTTGTTTCTCTGTGTGTGTAAGTGCCGGTTGCTTGTTGGTTTCAAAGTTCTCTGTATTTTGTTTTCTGGCTGTCTCTTCTGTCGCTTTGTCTGTTTCTGTCCTGCAGAGATAAGAGGGGGCGTTACTCTGCCTGCCAGGTATGGAGTGCTGACTCACCTGCAGCCAATTTCTAATCATTCACACACATTGGCGTCACTTTGCGTTGAAAAGTGGTGAGGACATAAAGGCGCAGATTAGGGGTGTGATGATACACTTAGCTCACGAGACCAGACGATGCACAATATTAGGTTCATGAGAACAAGACGAGAAAATATTTTAATACTATTTTGAATAAATATTCAATTCTGAAATATATGATTACGGCAGAAGATTTTGAGCATCTAACAATTTATTTCCTGCATTCTGGAGACATTTTCCGCTGCAATTTATGGCGGAAAAGTTTGATCTATATAAAAGGAAACTCAATTCAGGTGGCAGGTGGCAATTCAAAACATAAATATATAATGGAATATAATGCAGTAATCAGTAGCTTGTTTTGTTTTAGCTAAAGCTACTTCTTTTGGGCGATTTGCATATCTATCTTCTTTATTTACATTGCATTGAATGTTTTCTTATTGTGCTAATAAACCTTCTCAAAGCATTTTCATTTGTTAGTTAACATTTCTTGTTGGTTGCAAGACAATTTTCAGAACATAAATGCTCATCTAAGATTACAATACTTAAGGATCATTGAGTAATCAACCGTATGTCTTTGACACTCCAGCCGAACCTCAAACAGTTTGAGCTTAACCAGCTATTTGCTAGTTTTTGCCCATCTGCCTGCCTGTTTGCGTTGCTTTGCTCATTCTTCTTTTCTCTCCACCTGCCTGTTGCCTGGTGAACATTGGACCAAATCTTTGCAGGACAAGACCGCCTGTAAGTACAGTAAGGAAGGGATCACAGGGTTTATACGTATTTTTAATTTGTTATTATGGAAATTAGCTGGTTTAACCAGAATATTGCTCCACCCCCTTCTGGTTAGCTCTAGATCTACATGGGGCAAAAATGAACCCTAAAATGCAGCCTAAACTCTTGCTTAAGGGCCTCTTTTCCATTTTCTCCCCTGGATCGTAGAGCAGTTCTTCCCAACCTTGTTGGCTGGGGACCCCTCAAAAATGAAGTATTGTCTGCTTGCTACCAATCATCACAGGTTGAAACAATTCTTCTTGAATAATGATGAATGATAAAATCATTCAACTCTGAGCAGCAAAGGTCTGAGGTCACCACCCCAGGTTGGAAACCACTGTCTTAGAAAGGCTGTTTCCAGGACTGTGTGGCATGTTGTTTTCTGCTGTGACCCTATCCTCACTAGTTACCTTGTGATGCAGTTAGCAGCTGTCAGCACCCATTCATTGTTAATGAGGGTTCCTCCACAGAAGTGGATTCCAGAGCTTTGCAGACTGGCCTGCCAGGGCCAGCTGCCTGCAGAGCCCACCAGTCCTCCAACAATCTTAGTGTTGAGCGTAGGCTGACCACACACTGAGGAGGGGGACAATAAAGACACAGGGTGAACAATCCAGGGTTGACAGCAAATACAAACAATAATGAAACTATTAAAAAGAAGAAGAAGTTAAAAAGTAAGCATTTACCGTGTTTCCATCTAATTGTCATGTGAATTGTAAGCGGATTTTTGTCCCATAAAAGAAAACAAAAAGTAAATGCGAAATAGCTGAACCAGAGACAACCAGATAAACAAACAGCCGCATGGACCTGATGGCCATTGAGCTTAGTAAAATGGAAAGTGATCCTCAGGAAAGTGTTTCAAGCGAGCAAGTTGCTACCAGCCATATCTCTGCGCGTTATGGGAATATCCGGCAAGACGCCGACAGCGGAAACAGCTGATCAGATGTGAGTTCACTACATCAGAATTTATTCTGCTAAAGTGTTTCCATCTCCCATTTAACGCATCAACTATTTTTCAACGACAGTTTCTTAAAGAACAATTTAAGAAGGAAAACTGGTATCATTTGGAAGAGGTACAGAAATCTAGGCAGGACCACCATTTTAATTATATTAACCCGCCCTGCAAGAGAGATCGGAAGAGCCGACCACCGTGTTAAATCCACCCTGGTTTTATCAGTGAGAGGGGCAAAATTATGCTTAAAGAGGCTTTAAAAATTTGAGACATTTGAATTCCTAAATATGTAAAGGAAGAGTACACTTTTACCAAAATTCAATCTGTACCCAGAGAATCGACCAAACGTTTTGAGACTTTCCAGAATCCTTGGAATAGACACATCTGGGTCAGTGATGTACAGAAGAATAATGTCCACGTACAACGATAACTTGTGAATAGTGGGACCATGACAAATACCTTTAAACTGTGCATCGGACTTGAGCGCAACAGCTAAGGGTTCTATCGCAATGTCGAACAGGAGGGGGCTGAGAGGGCAGCACTGCCTAGTACCGCAATGTAGGGGGAAGTAGTCTGACGTGTCATTGTTAGTATGCAGAAAAAAGGTAGGACCATTCAACACAATCCAAAGCTTTCTCGGCATCGAGGGAGACTACCAATTCGGGAAGGATTGCGGAATGCTCTGAGTATAGCACGTTACATAGACGCCTGACGTTAAAATATGACAGTCGATTTGCTATAAAGCCCGTTTGGTCTGAATGTATAATGCCAGAGGTCACTTTTTCAAGACTAATTGGGCGATACGATTTGCATTTTTGAGACTTTGTCTTTTTTTGAAGTCACGGATATTGTGGCTTGGGACAGGGTTTGTGGAAGTACCGAGACTGCATGTAAACATCACAGAGTAGGGGCCCCAGTTTATTTGCAAAAGCCTTGTAAAAATTTGACGAATACCCATCCAGGCCAGGGGCCTTACCACTCTGTAAAGATCTGATCGCTTGTAAAACCTCTGGAGTTGTAATGGGTATTTCAAGTAACTGCCGCTGGTCCGAGGTAATAGTTGGAATATTCAAATTGTCCAAAAAGGAATCTACATCAGCGAGAGGGGTTGCACTCCTAGTTTTATAAAGATCCTGATAAAAGCCTTTAAAAGCTGTGTTGATCTTTTTTGAGTCTGTCTCAATTTGCCCCAACTGTATCCTAATCTCTGATATTGCACAGCTAGATATCGATTGCTGTAACTGATGGGAGAGTAGTCTGCCCGCCTTCTCCCCGTGTTCATAAACGAGCTGTCTTGTTCTTAGTATCAGCTTCTCTGTTGCCGCAATTGAAAGGGTCTCAAACTCTGACTGATGAATGAGTTTCTGCTTGTACAACTCAGCAGAGGGATTGTTGGCATACTGCAAATCAAGCTTTACTATGAGTTCAGTAAGTTCTCTGAGTCTCTCCCCGCGCATTCTGTTCTTATTTGCTGTATACAAAATAATTTGTCCGCACAGATACGCTTTAACGGACTCCCAGATTGTGGACTTTAAAAATAGAGACAAATTTGCAAAAGTCAGATCTCAAAATTGGTTGAGTAGCACGATCAGTTTGCACCGGCGAGTGATCAGAGATTACAATAGCATATTTACAAGCGGTAACTTTTAAGTTTTATCAAGTAGAAAGTAATCCATCCTCAAATATGAATGATGGACAGGTGAGAAAAAGGAAACGCTTTTGGCAGTATTCTCTGTAGCACGCATTGTGTCTGACAGACTGTAAGTTTGAAGAAATGATTTAAGCAAGGACGCAGATTTAGAGAGCCTGGCCGTATGCCGTGGCCTGGACCTATCCAGGTTGAGATCAAGAACTAAGTTAAAATCCCCACCCAAGATTAAATAGTGACTACCAAGATCCGGCAGCATACCAGTGAGCCTAGTAAAGAATTGTAGGTTGTCCCAATTTGGAGCATAGAGATTAACGAGAATAACTGGAGCATTAAAAAGTTTACCTGTGATGATTAGGAAACGACCATTGATATCAGATCCAACATTGGTAGAAACAAAAGGAAGATTCCTCTTTATAAGTATCGAGACACCCCTGGCCCTGGAGTCAAAACCCGAGTGATACACTTGAGAGAACCAACTCTGTCTTAGTTTTTCACATTCAGTGGTGCGGAAATGTGTCTCCTGCAGAAGCACAATATCAGGTCAAAAAGTCTGAAGATGACTAAATACCCTTTTCCGTTTGAGTACACTATTAAGACCCTTTACATTCCAACTAATAAAAGTAGTTGAAGGAGGTTTAGTAGTATAGGCTAACTTACAAGAAGACTCCATGACCATGTTAGTGAGGAGTATACATGTGGTGTACAATAAAAAAGTGAACACACCGAAGTAAAACTGCAGCTGAAAAGACAACATTTAAACATATCAAACTACCCAGCAAAACGTTCCTTCCCGAGAAGGAAATAACCACCCCCACAAGAGCCAAAACCTAACATGTAGTATTAGTCTAATACCGTGTACTCACACACTGTGCTAAGGTTGCTCCTACAGGGAATATAAGTAGGTTAAAATAAAACGATATCCAACAGGATATAATCATAAGAGTACAGCAACAATATTTAAGTGCAAACATCACCAGTCAAAAAGGCCCCCAAATGGCAGTGTCTGAATTAAAATACAAAACTCAAAACAGGTGAAAGCACTACAGGGGCTAGCTAACATCACAGTATCAGTTTCTCAGCAGACAATTAAGCTATCATATTAATATGACATACTCAGCCATCATCCTGTTGAGCCCCCTCCACCAAGTGTTTTATCACATAGTCCTTTGCACCAGCCGGATCCGTAAAAATCTTCTCACCTAGGGAGGAGGTTCTTCTTAGCCTCGCTGGGTACAGCATCCCAAACTTCACGTTACGACAGTTGCGAAGGAGATCCTTGACACCTCTGAAAGTCCCTCTTCTCTTCACGACTGTACGTGGCAGGTCCGGAAAGATCAAAATGGTGTCACCGTTGTAAACCAATGGGCCCCTCTTTGCCGCCATTCGGAGCACTCCCAGCTTCTCCTGGTAGTAGTAGAACTTCACAATGAATGGCCTGGGTTGTTGTTGTCTCAAATAAATAGGCTGCAAGCCCCGGTGCGCCCGGTCTAGGGTAGGAGTAGCGTCTAGGCCCAGAACCTCCTGTAGCAGCTTAGCCACGGAGACGACGGGACGGGAGCCTGCCTCAAACTGTTCCTTTACACCGAGTATACGAATATTGCAGCGGCGTTGTCTCCCTTCCAAATCTTTCGTCTTATCAGTGAGGGTTATAACACTATCTTTCAAAGAGTGGACTTGCTCCTCCAACTCGACCACTCTATCGGAGTACAAGTTTGTGGCCTCCTCCAAGTTAGTCAGACAAACTTGACTAGCATCGGAGTTAGCGGCTAGCGTCTCAAACTTAGCACTGAATTCAGCCCGAACACCTTCAATCTGGTCCACTAAATGGGTACGCAGGGAATCAATCATCTTGTTAAGAGCCTGCATCTTGGATTCCACATTTGAGTCAATCCTTGCCAGCACAGATTGTTCAGAGTCAGCTATAGCTGCCATTAGCTTAGCCATATCCTGGGACGCTGCATTACTATTGGATATCATTGAGGCCTCCGACTTTTTTGAGCTTTTTAATCTGTACATGGCGAGACAGCAGTTTTTAGTTACACCAATACTTACTGTATTGTTTAAGGGGCTATGTAGTATTACACAAAGTCAGATATCACAGTATTTATGGAAAAAAAGAAGTTTATCCGTGCGGAGCAAATGGGTGATACGTCTTTACATGACGCTGCTAAAGAGCGTCCCCCCCATCAACCTTTTCTAATGTGACACTTTAAAATGCACATAAAATAACAAACAAAACAAAATAATCCTGTCATCTCTCAGCTAACAGACTTAGAAAATCAGTTTCCACTTCAATAACCAAAATGTTTCAGCTGTCTTCTTCTTTTATTACGTCTTATGACCACCAAGGGTCACAGCCTAACAATATATGAAAATATGGGTCGTAATAAGCTGCTTGAACAATCAACCAATTCCGCTGTTTTTACAGTAAGGATAGGCTGAAATTACTGTGTGTTATTGTACTGCTGCTAATCTTATTACTACTAATACTAATGAGTTTTATTAATATTACTAATGTTATTGCTCCGGTCCCTGATGATGCTTGTTGTTGCTGACACCTCCTCCACTTTCCTGGGGCAGCGAGATTTTCGTGCAAAATGCCGATTGAGATATTCATGTCAGAATCCAGTATTTTGTCACCCTATCCATGCTACACACCTCTGTGAAGCTAAGAGGCTCAGCTAGAATCTCAAACCAACCATTTTTATCCACACCAAACACACATCAAGCACCAAGCATCTAAATGAGCTTATATCCAACATATTTTGCTCTGTAATCACTGTACATGGCTGCAGTTATTGCCATCCAGATATCTCTCATCTCATCGTACCCACATGACAGACCACTCTAAAGAAAGCTGAGAGCCTCTTGCGATCAGCTGCGTAACTCACATAACTCAAATAGCCAAACTCACAGACTAATTAGCTGGACAACAATAACAACAAACGCATCAATATACATTTACAATTACAACCACTGACTTATTTTTGCTGTTTTCCTGTTTTTAGTCCAAAAGCAGCTCTTTTGTTAACAAAAATGCTGCCGTGACGCCATCGTGGTGTTGCACAATACCTTTTAGCTCTCTGCCAGCTTCCTTCCAACTTTGACTGCAGCAGGCGAAAAGTGTTGCTTTGGAACACACGGTTTTTATTGCCATCTGGTGGTCAACTCGTTGTAGGTACACAGACATCAAATGAAAGGTCTGCTCAAAGAATCGTCTGTCGCCTCATTCATCACTGTGGGATGTTCTGTTCTCAAGCATTACATTTCATTTATTCATTAGCTGATGCTTTTCTATACATGCCGGGGGTCGCACGCCTCTGGAGCAACTAGGGGTTAAGTGGATGGTTGTTGTTGGATTGGATGGTGGATTGAACCCCAAGCATGGGAGTTCTTTTGGTCATCGGAATATTGATCAATATTCACTGCTTTTATCACTATTTCAATGTTTTGGAAGCTTTATGTAATTTGGAACATGGTTGTATAGACAGAAAGTGTTTTTTAATAAAACTTCCAGTAAAAGTCAACATACAAACAGTAAATATGGCCAAAACATGGACATTTGCCTGCTATATTAAAAAAAAAAGTATAATACCCGTTGTATATTAGTTTCTTTTCATCAAATGTACAGTTACAATTGTATTCCAGGTGTAGTAGAAGATATTCAGTTGCATCATAATCTTCACGATGATGGTTTTGATGGTGATATTGCCTTTGAAATATAGATTATATACCAGGCGAGGATGAAAATATCTTATTTTCTTTTATTGCATCAACCTTTCAGGTATGGAAGAATTACAATGTTAATTTACATTGGATACATATTCCTTAGCTTCTGACCTATCAGAAGAGAGCAGAATTATGCATCTAGGTCTGATGGTTGAGGAGTTGTTACTGATAAATTTTTGGGTTTGTTATTTTAGGTGTTTTTCCTGGAAAGAGGTGGCAGTTTCCAAGACTTAATGTAATAAACACATGAGAGTAGTAGAAGTTAAAGGGGCATGCCGCTGATTTTGCACATGAAGGTCAGTTAACTCTTTACAAAGAGTACTCCTGTGATCTCAAGTGTATAACATTGTTGTTTTATAAACAACCATAGTACTTCCATGAACTTCATTCTGTGAAACAGTAAATGAACACATTGCCATTCGAATAAATTCTGAAACAGAATATGAAACATATTTATCTAATAGCTTTCCAAGGTAAAATGTAGAGTTACAAATCAAAGTCTGGACATGGTAGGCACTTACCTTGGGCTATGGGTGGTGGCAGGGCAGGACAGGTGACGCTGAGGTCACCATCGGTCCCTGTGGAGGTGAAGGTGATGAAGCCCGGCTGGTTGATGGTGATCTGGCTGTTGATCCAGGACTGATACTGGGACACTCGGGTGTAGCCTGATGGGATATTAGGCACTGCGCAGCCCTTATTACTGAGGAAACTCGTGATTCCCCCCTGGATCCAGCGACCGCCCTGCTTGCTCACCAATGGACCTCCTCCATCCCCCTTTACGGAAAGAAACATTTAGGAGAAGGAGTCATTGCAGAAGGTAAAATCAGACTCGAACACAGGAGTAAAACTGATCACCTGACAGATGCCCTTCCCTCCAACATTTAACCCGGCGCACATCGTGTTGTTTGTGATCAAACTCAATCCGTAGTTACAGGTACACTCTCTGTTTCCAACAATCGGCAGCTGCACCTCCATTAGGTTTTGTGGGAAAGGCAGGGACACTAAAGAGACACAAATTTAGTTTAATAAACAAGTGTTCACATGTTTTAAAATGGCCTCACACAAAATGAGCAGTTTACTAAATACATCAGTGCTCTGTGGCACACCTCAAGTACACCTCGATGGATCAAGCAAACATTTTACATTTTATGTAGAGCAGGTCTAGATTGTACTCTTCATATTATTATGAACACTTGCCAACTGAGACAAGGAAAGACTCGCTTTTAGGAGGTAGAAAGACCTCGAACGGAACTGTGACTCAGGTTTGGTGGCCATCTGTCTGAACCGGTTGGGGCTGAGGGAGAGAGAGAGCCAGAAAGAGCGTTGGATAGCGAAAGAGAGAGGGTGAGGGGATGATCCAACACAATACCCACATAGAACTGCATAAACAGTAAAAGTGGTTGTGGTGCAGACAGAAAATAAAATTAAATAAAATGATTCAAGTAATATTAATGTTGTTGTTGATAATAATAATAATAATAATAATAATAGGATTAATAATAATTGTAGCAGTGGCTGTCGAGCGGGAATCCCGCAACCACAGATCCAGACTCCACAGCTCCAGAGCCAGAAACACCTGCAGGAAGTGATAGGAGGAGAGAGGAGAGGGACAAAAAAGCACAAGACTACCGGAAAGGGGAGAAGTTGTGTTAGTAACATGCAATAATGGGATGAGGTTGCATACAGAGGGAGAGAAAGTAGAGGAGAGAGGAGCTCAGTGCATCATGGGAAATCCCCCGGCAGTCTAGGCCTATAGCAGCATAACTAAGGGATGGTTCAGGACTCACCTGAGCCAGCCCTAACTATAAGCTTTATCAAAGAGGAAAGTCTTAAGCCTACTCTTAAATGTGGAGATGGTGTCTGCCTCCTGAACCCAAACTGGAACCTGGTTCCACAGGAGAGGAGCTTGATAGCTGAACGCTCTGGCTCCTAGTCTACTTTTGGAGACTCTAGGAACCACAAGTAACCCTGCATTCTGGGAGCGCAGTGCTCTGGTGGGGTAGTAAGGTACTATGAGCTCTTTAAGATAAGATGGTGCCTGACCATTAAGAGCTTTGTAGGTAAGAAGAATGATTTTAAATTCTATTCTGGATTTACTGGAAGCCAATGCAAAGAAGCTAAAACAGGAGAAATGTGATCTCTTTTCCTGGTTCCTGTCAGAACACGTGCTGCAGCATTCTGGATCAGCTGAAGAGTCTTAATGGACTTTTTCGAGCAGCCTGATAATAAGGAATTGCAGTAATCCAGCCTAGAAGTAACAAATGCACGGACTAGTTTTTCTGCATCATTTTTAGACAGGATGTTCCTGATTTTCGCAATATTATGTAGGTGAAAAAAGGCGGTCCTTGAAATTGAAATCCTGTAAGATATGGGGAGTGTTAGCAAGTATAAGCTAACTGAAGCTAACCTCTGTGGCTCCTTTTTTACTTCTGTACCACAAGTTGTTTAATTCTTCTGCTCATGTGGGTCACTTTCAGGCTGTGGATATCCACACTGGAGTCTGATGTGGGCAACATTTAAACTATAATGTGAACTGTCAAACAAAACAATCCAGCGGTCTCATTTATAAAACTGTACGTAGAAAATACTCCTAAAGATTGCGTACGTTCTAAACACAGGAAGTGCGTACCTACAAAAATATCAATATTTATAAAACATGCGCAAGTTTTATGATTTCCCTTTATAAATCAAAATCAACTTGACTCCATGTCCGACCCTTCAAACACCCATAGTTATCTATAAATGGTCAGTGAAAAGCCCCTCATTAATATTAATACTTACTGACTGCATGAAGAAAAGGAGGCAAATTCTGACAGAAAAGCTAAAAAAAAGAAATGACATTTGTTTTAGTGAAGCTGAAGTTGTTTGGTGGGTAAAATGCGCACATACAGGTACATACAACTCTTGTGAACCGGAGGAAAGGGGGCACCAAAGCTCCACCCCCTTATAACCGATCTGCAGGAAGGTGCATCCCTCTTGAGTTGTGACGGAGGTGGAGGGGGACACATAAATGCAACATGGGATGACCCAGGTACTAATTTGGATTCCCCCCGTTTGAAAAGAGAGTAAACCAAATGCATTTTTATTGCGCACTTCAGGGAAAATCAATCAAATGGGTATTTGTTTATTCAGAAAGTCTTTAAGCCCATAACACTCTGATGTAATATTTTGATTTATTACGCATGGTTCAGACTTTACTTGCATATTCGTCCTTCAAGTTTGTTTTTATAGATCACAGCCTTTGCTTGGGAAGTGGTGTACGCACGTTTCCAGCCCTTTTTTTGTACATACGCACCGTTTATAAATGACACCCCTGATCTGGAAAAAAAATGGGAATTGAGCTTTAAGGCCTGCAGTGTGAACGTAGCCAAAGCTACTCATATTTCCAGTCAACGGGCTTTATAGTACAGATCTGTGTCACATCTGTATCTCCCTGCCTGTGTGTGTGTAGGGGGGGGGGGTCTCTCCTGTCCTGATTACCTGATGTGTGTCACCTGGTTGTGCCCCAAAATGCTTGCTTGCTCGCTCTTGTAGAAATGGTTTTCAGTCATAGTAGGATGTTGAGAGTTCTGCTCGTCTCTGTGTGGTTGCATTTACCAGTTTTATTTAGATTTAGTTTTGCATAACAGATTATAACCTTTGTTTGAATTTTCCAACCATGCTTCCATGTAAGCCACATAATTCTGCGCTCTTCCTTTCTGACCCACCTCCAGTTCCAACATTGCCCCAGCCGGTGACCCAGGAGACAGTGCCCTTGTAGAAGGTGCTGCCTGTGGCTGCCAGGCAGACGGGCTGGACGTAGGCGTTGAATGTCACCGGTGAGGAGAGCTTCAGGAGGCAGATGTCGTTTTCAAAAGTTCCAGGGTTAAAGTTGGGATGAATGATGATCTGTGATACTGCCCGAGACACTTGATTGGGGTTTGTTCCCTGTAGACTCTGGAGACCCAGAACCACAGTCAGAGTGCTCGTGCCTACGCCTTGTCTGAGTTATCAGAAGAGAAAAAAAGAGTGCAACGTCCAGTTTGTATGGAGCTTCATGTTGCGACAGGGAGATTCAATTCCCACAAGTTATATAAATGATTCCCTCATCTTAGTCGTTCACATGCTCAATATCCTTTTTCATGACCTCTAGTGCTAATTCCATAAGTTGTTCCCTCAAATTTTTGATTAATACTTCAGTCTGCACATGTAGCTAATCTGTTCTTTGCATCTGTTGATGTGGAGACTAGGGCCCCAAATCCTGTTTACTTTGTCTCCAAACAAGCACGGGCACATTATCAGCGCGAGGACACGCAGTCCGTTAAAATGTATTTAAGTTTTTCTTCATTGCCTTCATGTCAAGTTATTTCTGTCCCTCTGCTGTCATGGTAACGTAACGTTACACCGCACAACGTTCGACTGTTTTCTGTTAAAACGCAACGTATGAGCGAGAAAACAGCTGAATCTAACAGTACTGACGATGTGTGACTGTCGGCACAGTCTGAGAGTCGTCTCAGGTGTTCTCTTTGCCCAACACTGACGCAGACATACATTGAATTATCATATGGCAAAACATTTTAAGTTTTAAGTAAAGTAGCCTGATTAATGTCTTTTGTTGTTATTATCACAACAGTGACATGGAAATTGGATTAATTTTAAGATTTTATCATTGTCATTATTCTAATGTGCTTCATCAGGATGATTAAATGAAATATAGATTTATTGATTAGACATGTGTTTGATATTTATTTTGGATAGGCAACTTTTTTTCTATGGAATACACAAAATTAGTCGTTTTAATTGACTTGAAAAATAATCGTTACGTACAGCCCTAGTGGAGACCAACAGCAAAACCATCTTCTCTCCCAGTGTACATGGCAGTCCAAGCTTAAACTCTATTAACTCCAAAGAGAGAGGGGGAACAAATGCACATGGAATTAAGAAATGTCTATCTCTGGATGATTCATTAATGGGGGCAACAGGCAAAGTTCTGGGGGTGTAGCTAGCATATATCCAGGCCAAGACTTCCTTTTACATGCAGTGGTCTTTAATTGTCTCGATAATAAGTTAAGTTAATTGAGGAAATAACAGAAAAGAAAAATCTTTCTAATAAAATGAAGAAAGTTGTTTTTTCTGCTTTTGTTGTTCAGACTGACAGCGAAAACATTTTAACAAGACGGCAAATCATTAAATGAATCGCATATAAAACTTGGCAGTGATACACTTGAGTTTAATCAGGACTATCTGTCTTCACTCTGGTATGAAACAGTGTTGCGATGAATCAGATCAGTACGATCAGCTGTCCAATCAATAACGGCTATACGATAAAGGGGCGTGTCGATCAGTAAAAAAAAAAAGAAGAAGACAAACAACAGACTTGAGCTGCACCCCATGTTTACAGTCTGATAAGCAACATGTGATGTGAGAATGGACTTGGAGACGTTTATGACCAGATTGTTTCACAAGTAACCAGTTCACAAAGCTAAAAAAAGCTAAATCATTGTCTGACGAAAGCCAATGGGTTCAGAGATTGCATTAGCGGCATCACGATCCACCTCTGTTGCTCCCCACACCGACTGTTGCAACCTGCATGCAATCAAAGCCCACTCAAACCTGATTGGTTAATACCAGTCGGACTAGAAAACAGAACACTTCGGATGCCTCTCAGGACCTCTCCGATTTATCCTGCAACCCCTTAGAGAGATTCCTGCCCCAGGTTGGGAACCACTGCCTTGGACAGGCTGTTTGCGACTCTTTATGGCATGTTGTTTTTGTAGCGGCCCTACCCTTACTGCTTACCTGGTGCAGCATTGAGCAGCAGTCAGCACCCACTGATTGTTAATGAGGGATCCTCCACAGATGTGGGGCTCTGAGGTTCGCAGACTGGCCTGCCAGGGCCAGCTGCCTGCAGGGGCCACATCTCCTCCGACAATCCTGGTGTTGAGTGTTGGCAGACCACACACTGAGGAGAGAGACAAAGACAAAATAGGAAAATAAGAAGAATAGAAATATGTCTAAAACGTTCCAGTGACAGACAGGAAGTAAAAAAGAGAGTAGAAACTTTGACTTACCATTCAGTTGTGAGTGAGACTCTGAAAACACAAAACAAACAATATTTGATACAGAAATTGTGTATTTATTTATGTCTTAGCTATATTGAAGTGATATTTGCATGGGAGGAATTTTGTCATCATTTGTAACATTTCTTACTAAATTCATTCAAACACAGAAAAACGTTTAGCCCTGTCTTCTCTCAGCTAACAGGATAAACATTTTTGCATTTGTTAATCCTTATTTTTCCCAATTTCTGCCACATTCAGAAAAAAAAGCATTTGCTGTTACATGGAGGAAGGTTCACTCTGCTCGTGGATGATTAACTGTTCAGTGAACAGATGTTCTTCTTCTCCTCAGTTAAAGATTTTCAAACAAATCTGTAGTCACACAGTGTCGGTACAGTGACCATCTGTTTCTCTAATTTATCCACATATCCCTGGATACAAAAGTTCCATAAATGACTTAAATTAAATCCACAAATATTTCTTTAATTGCATGCTTACAAAAAACTCATACTACAAGGACAGACTGAAAAGAATAAGACGTTTTTAAGGTGGCTTTAAGTTGCAGAATTATATGTAAATTCTGTGACTTTAATTTTAAAATCAAGCACAATTGAACGTAACTAGTTAGCTTGTACTAAACTGTGGAATATTTTAAAGGATGGCCAGCAGGTGGTCTTATAGACTTCAGCGGGTCCTGAAGATGGGGCTTACCACTTAATGAAAGATCTAAAATCTGGATCAACTTAAAACTTTTTAATATTTATTTAAGAATGTTCTGCAAGTGGAAGATTTTGTGTCTGTTTCATGATATCTTGTCAATCAGAAGCACAAATCACAGGTGTGCAACAGGATGCATAGATTTACTGTAACTTCATAAATGTTACTGTGGGGTGAAACTAAATTAGAATCACATTACGTTTTGCAATAAACACAAACTTTAATAGACAAAAGAGACTGTGCATGAAGTTAAAAAAACTACACGTAGAGGTTATTGCAATGTTTTTCACAATTAGTATACCATTCAAATTACTCATCATTTTGTACTAAATCAGTGAGGAGGGTTCTTACCTTGTGTCAGGAGAGTCAGCAGAGTCGCCACACAGATCACTTTGTAGAAAGCCATCGCTGTAAGTACATATCATCAGATCTGCACCTGCATAAATACTCTTTTTCTCCCCTCCCTCCCTCCCTCCATGTCTACCTCCAACACAAGCCCAGCTGTCCAGCGACACGCCCAAAATCTCACCTATAACATGTTTCACAAAAATGTGTTTTGGACTCAAATGGAACCCAGATCTTCAAGACCAGGGCCCCTATTCTGTTTGCTGGGAGGCACAAGAGGCTCATTGTTCTTTTGTGTGCTTTCTAGCAATGAATGCAGTTTTTTCTATTATTTTCACACATGGGGACACTGCACAGCTCATGTGTCTGATGGACAGGATGAACATTGATAAACCGTAAAATGAGGACAGTCGGGAAATTGACAGATTATGTTTCCAGCATGTTTTCTGGAAAAGGGGAGGTTTTTTTTGCTGTGTTCCTTTTCTCCATTACTACATGAGCTATTAGAAGAGGTGTGTGCTCACATGCCTAAGACGTAAAAGTATTGGGAAATTGTATCAAATTGCTCCTCGTCCTAATTAGTTCATCCTCATGGGTAGTATTATATGGGGAAAGAATACAGCTTGCAAATTATTTTATATTTGAATGAGAGAGTATGACATGCCTTAGACCGCAGCTGAAGGTGAGCAGCTTTTAAAATCACGCATGGACTTAGCGCGTGACGGCCTTTTTTAATGCAGTTTATGGTGCAGGCTCATAAGGAAAAATAGCTTTCATGTATTTAAACCATCACCATTGAGGGAGGACCCAGTTTTTTGATAATAACTTCTACAGTTTTCAACTAATCCATCTTCTATCATAAAATTGTTCCCTTAAAAGTGTTTTATGAGCTTTTCACATAATATATCTGATGACAAATTAGAGTTCTATTGTATTGCTTGGGAACTTTATCTGTCAATCTTTTGTTGAACGTCATAAAAATGCGCCACCCACTAGACCGCTCCTGTATCCATCTGTGTTTAATACAGGATCACATCTACATTTACATTTACTCATTTGGCAGACGCTTTTATCCAAAGCGACTTACATTTGAGGAACAACATAAAAGCATCAACAGAGCATCAAATACAGCACAAGATCTACAACTGACAATACCTAGTAAAAAAGGGCAACAATAAATACTACCAAGAACTAATAGCACAAATTGCATCAATGGGGTAAATTACTAAGGAAAGAAGTAAGAGTTAACAAAAAAGTGCAATCAGTACAAGAGCGTTGTAAGGAGACAGAAGAAGAAGAGCACAGGAAGAGAACGTTAGAGAGGTTATCAGAGGAAGTGTTTTCAGGAGCTTCTTGAAGTCAGAGAGGGACGCCCCTGCTCTGATGGCGTGTGATAGCTCGTTCCACCATCGTGGTGTCACAGATGAGAGAACAGGGACATCGATTGCTGTGTGAAGCTGGGTGGCATACTAAGTGACGTAGGGCCTGATTTGATGTTGTGTAGAGCAAAGCGGCACGACTGAGAGACAGCAGCAACATGGTCTGAAAAGGACAGCTGGTCATCAATCATGACACCCAAGTTTCTCACCACCCTGGTTGGAGTGATGGTGGAGGAGTCATCTGTGAAAGAAACAGGGTGCTGCGTGCATGCAAAGACAAATGGACCCAACATTCCTTTTAGAGACACAGGACGGGTTTCTATAGAAATATCATGAAAAAGAGGGTCTTGTTGCTGAAGGGGCAGTGTGAAGATACAAGCTGGAAACTCACACTGGCTATCACAGGGACTGCTGGAGCCATTTCACTAACATCACAAAGTTAAAATGAGCCCAGGAGAGAAGAGACAAGGCAGTTTAATACAAAAAGAGATGTAAAAGAAGGTTGGTTTCAAACATGCAATGCATGTGAGTATGAAGGTGGATCTTGAACTTTGAATCTGGAATCAAGAATTTCAAGTGGCAACAAACAGAATCTGATTGAGAATAAAATAACCTTCACAACTTTAAAAATCTGTGTTCTCTCTCGATGGGGATCATTATTTTCTAAAACTAAAGCAGATACGCAGCCTCGGCCCACCGCCTAAGAGGGCAATATAAACAAGACAATATTCACATGCACTGGTCCGGTAAAAAGAATCTTGAAGTTGTTCCTGTCATACATTCATCACACCTCATTGTTAGACATTCACCTGTGAACATAGCTGACCTGTTTGAGGTGCCAAATGATTTATATGGGCAGTTCAAAGGTATGACATGGGCCTGATGAAAGATGCCACACATCTGATAGTTCATCCAAAGTTAGATTTTTGATGACTTGATCATTTTGATGATGTTTGAGGCAATATACACTCAAACAAGAAGCACTTGAAGCTAATAAACCTGTTTTTGATCTTGTATCCACAGTCCATTGGCTGAAAATCTCATTCATTGATGACCTAATGATTCAAGAAAGAGGCAAATCTCTCTCAGGATTTCTGTTTTGTCTGAGTTCAGCTGGAGGAAATTATTTGACATCCATTTCTTAACTTCACAAAGGCAGTTGTTAAGTGAACTCAGCATTCCAGGGTCTGGAAGTATATTTGTGTGTCATCAGCATAAATATGAAAAGAAATGCCATGTTTATGGATAATATGTCCAAGGGGAAGCAGATACAAGGAAAACAAAAGGCACACCATATTTAACTGGACAGAACGAGGAGACATAGTTGTTTACAGACACGCAAAACTTCCTATTTGACAGGTAGGATGAAAACCATTCTAGGGCAGTACCAGAGATCCCCACCCAGTGCCTCAGTCTGTCTAACATGATGTTGTGATCAATGGTGTCAAAAGCAGCGCTAAGGTCCAGGAGTACCAGGACTGAGCACATACCTTCATCAGCAGACATTAAAAGGTCATTGGTGACTTTAAGCAGGGCAGTCTCAGTGCTGTGGTACTTCCTGAAACAGACTGAAACTTTTCAAATATTTTGTTATTTTCCAGTACAGTGAGCAGCTGTTTGGACACAATTCTTTTTAGAATCTTTGCAGTTTTAAAATTGGTCTAAAATTATGTGGGAGGGAGGGATCTAAACCAGGTTTCTTTAAAAGTGGGTTCACGCAAGCCGTTTTAAAATAATCAGGGACACAACCAGTAGATAGGGAGCTGTTGAAAACAGAGATCAAATGGGGCCCAACAGAATCTATTACTTTTAGTAAAAATTTTGTAGGTATTATATCAAGTGGGCTGGAGGACACTCTCATTTGTGATATTGTTTTTAAAAGCTCAGACAAGTCGATGGGATAAAACTGGTTAAAACTCTCTTGTTGCTGGTGAGGAACCTCTGAGTAAGAGGCCGCGGGGGTAATAGAGGCTCTGATTGACACCACCTTATTGGTAAAATAAGATAAAAACAATTCACAGTCATCATTACTTCCAGCTGAGGCACAAGGAGGGGTTGGGTTTACCAGCTGATCCACAGTCTGTTGGAATCAGACAGGTGTTGGCTTTGGCTCTGAAAGAATGCGCAAAACTTTGAAACACTTTGTTCATTAAAGATGCGACAACACACGGAGCTTGGTGAGGCGGCATGAGTAACAGGCGAATCGCAGCTAAAAACAATACATCTGTGGTCAGATATGGTCATGTCCACTAATTCCACAGAGGAAAAACCAAGTCCAGTGTATGACCACGGTTATGTGTTTGCCCTTTGACATGTTGTTTGAAGTTAAAGGAAGTGGTCATATTTAAAAAGTCAGTTGCATTAACATTGTTGGGGTCATCAACATGAATATTAAAATCGCCACAAAGAACAATTCTGTCATAATTTAAAACCAGAGTAGATAAAAATTCAGGAAGTTCTGATAAAAATCCTCCAGGCGGTTTTGGGGGGCGATAAATTATAACAAATATGATAGGTTGCAGCCCTCCAACTTTAAGAGTGAGAACTTCAAAGGAGTTAAATTCATCACAGCGTACTTGATGACATTTAAAATTTTTCCTATACACGCTCACTAGCCCACCACCACGACCACTGACCCTCGGTTGACTAAAACAATCATATTGAGGCGGACACAGTTCAGCTAGCTGGCTATAGTCATTCATTTGCAACCAGGATTCAGTTAAAAACATAAAATCTAGATTTGCAGACAAGATAAAATCATTTAAGATAAAAGTCTTACTTGACAGAGATCTCACATTGAAGAGAGCCATTTTAAATGAGTTTGTTCTGGGTGCTGGAGTTGGTGCAGTTGTCCTAATCCTTAAGAGATTACTATATTTCTGTGTGGGATGTGTACATTTCGGTTTACTGGTCTATGCGTGATGATGACAGGAATAGAAGTCTGTGGAACAGCGCTGGGAGCAGACGGCTTTACATGCCAGCAGGTGGAGACAGTTGTTTGTGGCAGTGAGCAGAGATCTGTTCAGTGAGCGGTGGTGTGTCCAGGTGTGCTGCATGAATGATGAGTCATTCACGTAAGTCATGTGTGGACCGCACCACATGCTGTATGTGCGCAGCTAACATTTCTGAGCCCCGTTTGTTTGGGTGAAGTCCGTCTGTCTTAAAAAGAGACATTCTTTGCCAGAAAATATTAAAATTATCCACATAACACACGGTGAGCCCTGCAGGCGGACTGGAGCCAGTCGTGGAGGCCAAGGATTCTACTGAAGCGGCCAGCACCGCACCGACTGTGGGAATGGGACCAGAGATAAATAAAAGTCAGACTGCTGAAGAGCTGTGTCATTTGTTCCCACATGGACTATCACTCTTGTGATGGAGGACGGGAGCGACGGCATCAGGTCCTGGAGTTTTTTAAAAATGTCAGCCGTGGTGGCACCGGGGAAGCAGTGAGTGGTACCGTTAAAGAAACGGATGTTTCTGGTTATGGAGTCACCAATTATTAGTGTGGTTGGGGAGAAAAGGGGACGAGGAGATGCGGTTGTGGGGTTCCAGAGCAGGACTGAGCAGAATCTGCTTCAACACTGCGTGCGGACTGAGGATGGACTGTGTGAGCTGCCGAGTGTTGTGTTGGAGTAGCAGTAAGCGACCTGAGAGAAGGGCTACCCGACGGTGCAGGGTGGAGACGGCCTCCGGAGCGTCTGAGCACAGCCTCCTTC